CCACGCTAGTAGTAACAGGTGCCTTACTAGTAGTAACAAGAAGCTAGGAGTAACAAGTAATCCACCTTTCTCAAAGACTTGACCAAATCAGCCACATGGGCGATCGATCCTTCGGTCCACTCCCAACCCCACTCCCCTCGCAGCTTGGCGCCACACCTTCTGTGAGATTTAGGGCGGTGGTGTTCCATCTGGATCAAACATGTTGAAATACGTTGTGGAAATACTGGAACCTGATTGATTTCGTCTCTATCGTGGTCTTTGTCTCTTTTCTGTTTGCGTTGCATCCCCTCTTTATCCGTGCTGCTTTCCGTCGCCGCTTGCAAATCCCAGAACTTCAACGCAAAATCTTCCCATCGTCTTCCCCGGTCGACAAATCAAAAAAGAAAAGAAGCCGAAAAAAGGAAAGCAACCAGCATAGACCCCAAACACGTTAGTCGGTAAGAAAGACTTAGTTTTGGGGACATAAACCAAAAGAATCCGGCTCGCCCAGAGAAAGAACAAGAAACACTTTCGGCTCCCACCCAAGCATCGCTCTCCGCGCAGAGAATCACCTCGATCGCCTCGCAGCTCTCCACCCGCGGCAGCGCCGCCGCGGTGGCGTCGTAGGCCACACCTCCAGTCTCGACTGGAGACGTTGTAGGCCGCACAAAACCGGCACCGGTGGGTAGGGTCCCAAAAACCTTGGCCTGGTCAATTTCTTGGAGAATCTTCCAGACATTCAAGAAATGGTTCATTCCAGCCTTCCCAGCACGAGAAGACAGAAAAAACAATGACTTTTTGGAGGGCGTCCAAAGCTTCCCACACAGCGCTGGGAGTGTGGAGAGTCCGCGCCTGACCAGGAGGCGCTGGTCTGCACTTTGAAGGCCCAGCTCGTGGCGAAGGACTTCAGGTCACCTGATCTTCGGATCGAGGAGCATCGGAGCACGGCGGCACGGGCCGTGGCACGGCATGGTTTGAAAGAAAAAGACACACTCACGCGGTCGGAAAAACGGAATAGAAAGGCCGAATAAACGGTCAGAAGAAGAAGAAGAAGAAAACTAAAGGAGAAAGAAGTGTCTTAAGATGAATAACACGCATGTACAGAGCATGCTCAAAACTAAGCAACCAAATCCTACCACCTGACGGAAAGCTTAGACGCCGATTCGGCAGTCTATGACAGCTAGTGCTGGATTTCTTCTTTCATCAACCCCCCTAGGTAGTAAGAATGCTCCTAGTAGCGATGCCAGGAGCCCCTAGTAGCGTCCTTGCTCCTAATAGTAAGGCCAGGAGCCCCTAGTAGCGTCCTTGCTCCTAGTAGTCACATCAAACCCAACCCTCCCAGCCTAAGCTTGCTCGCCGCCCGGTGTCTACGGAGGACCCGCGATGGAGCACGGCGGCGCGACGGCGTGAGCTGTCGCCACCGGTGTCACCAGGATCTCCTGAGTGGGACCCGAGGCTGGTTGCCGAGGCTGGACACCGGAAGAGGGGCGACAAGGGAAGACCCCAGCTACCGGGGAAAAACACGGTGTGACACTAGCTCGGGGAAGAAGTATGGCATGTGGGATGTGGGGGAAGAAGTGGTAAGAAAGGAAACCTAAGCACTCTGCAAGCTTCAGTGGATTGCAAGCTCGACACTACCCCACACACATCGCTCCTCTGCATCCCTTCCGTCTTCCCTCGACAAGGCTCCCAGCACCATCACGGAGGTGCAATCTGCAGTCAACTTCACGAAGGATCTCACTGGAACCTAAAACGGCCGAAGGTACAACGGCTAAGGCCGGTAGAAGACGAGAGAAGACACCGCTGACCACGACCTACAACGGCTGTGCTGGCATCTGTGGTGTGCCGCGTTCGAAACCTTTGGCATCCGCAGGTGCAAAGGTCGAGCGACGGTGGGATCCTCAAAGTGCACCAGTCCCTCAATTCCCCGCGATCCTTTCTCCCCACGTTCGTGGAATCGGTTCCATCATGTCTGAAAAGTGCTCTCTTTCTCACTGCAAAGCCTTTTTCTTTCTTACTATGGCTGCAAAACCTTCAATAATCAAAAAGTTCTCACTGCAATAGTGAGGACACTCCTCTTTCGTTCACCAACTTCGACCAAATCGGCGTCCGGCTTTCGGGGGTCCTCCGGCTTGGCGGCGAAGCGTAGCTCTCCGCCCTTGGGCTGGGCTTGTTCGTCGCTTCAAAAACGAAAAACCTCACCGACCGAGCCCTGATCGGGGGGGAAAGGGAAGCGTCTCGTAATTCCTCTGAAGCCCAATCAATCCCTTCCTAACTGTTGTCTGATGAATTCAACTGTTGATGATGCAGAACCATCTCCCGGTGATGGGAGGTTGATTTAACAGTGAACATGACTTGGACTCACCCGTCTGAGCGGAAACACGTAAAGTTTTCTGCCAGAAAATATGCTTTCTTCAAAGACTGGTCCTTATGCGCATGATAAGTTAAGCACCATCAATCACAGCATCTGATTCAAGTGCTAAACACGGGGCGTTGGCTCTGTCTCTCCAAAAAAACGAACTGCTCAGACCAAAAGAAAAAACAACAGTGGTTGGCTCGCTCCACACTCCACCTGTAACCAGCTTCCCCACCCTCAAGGCGCACGTTCGTCAGCCGGACCACCTCGATCCAAGCGAAGCGGTGCCGCCACTGCTTCAAGTGCTCGGAGCGTTTCTGCAGCCAACCGCCACGCTCGCGGGGGTTGACGGGCGCCGCTTCCGCGGCTTCCGGTGGCGCCTCACCTGGATGAGCGAAGGACTGGTGCTGCGTGGAGGTGAAAAAAGCAACTTCTCAAAACGATTTTGAAGAGAGGAGACGCACAAGATCTTGCAGTCTAAGGATCACAAGGAGATGTTTCAAAACGCTTTCTAGACCCTGCAGATTCTGAAACCCAATGTTCCCAACCGATGGGGTCTACGAGGGTGCTTTTTGATCCAAAATACCACACCCTCCTGCAAATTGACAGGACGTTCGAGGGCGGCAAATGCTGGTGATGTTACTTGGAGTAGAAGCATCATTAGCACCAGTAGACAACAACACGTTGACCCCTTGCAATGCCAGAATTGTAAAGAGTTCAGGAAATCGAAGAAATCTCGTAGCACCTTGGTCAACCCCAAAACACCTTCAAACATCGTCCCCTGATCATTGCTTCACTCCCTCTCTCCCTCCACAACGACCGAAGCGGACATGGCCTGGATCTGTTGACCTGAACGGCCATGGAGCCGATGGACCGGAGCCGATAACGTTGGAACCGAAGCACCCAGGACCGGTTCCAAACCCCTCCCCAACGAGCGGCGTGGGGAAGCACCTGCTTTAATTTGCGGGAAGAGAGAGGAAGAAGTCACCAGCCGCACAACTTGATCCGGATCAGGTCACCAAGAAAGCGATCCACATCCGTGAAACTCTTGACTCATCTGACGAGGACTGACCTCGGGTTCATTCAGCTTCCGCTTCGAGTTCCACCGGAGACCACACCCACACGTCACCAGGTCATCACCGGCCTCCTGTGCTGGAAGACGGAGGTCCCACCTGCGTTTGGGCAGATGGATCGGAGTCTTTCTTGGCAGTTCAACATCCAAAAGAAGGAAGCTTCTTGGTAGATATGGATCAAAGAGGGGGTTTCCAATATGTGGTGTGTGAACAGGTCTCTGTGTCTCTGTGTTCCATCCAAATTTGGAAGATTGACCCCAGTGCCATGTCTTTGGGTTGCAAATCTGTGGATGGCTACCAGAAGTGCATCACCTGTGTCCCGAAGTGCAGCATCCTTTCCGGAATACTCTCTCTCTCTATAAAGAATCGAATGAAACCTAGAAACGCACCTTAGGACTTCATTTATTCCACTGCTAACCAATAGCTTGGGGTTCCACCTCAATCTCTCTTCCGGGTAGAACACCACGTATCACCCGCACCAGTTGTGCACCACATGCGCGGCACCACAATTCCGGCCATGCGCCTGGGACCAGCATGAGGGGGAAAAGGTGTTTGGCCACTGCGTGCTGTGCCGGGTACCTGGGAACAAACCGTGTTTCTGCGCAGAAAAAGAAGCCAGGCAGAGTGAGGCAGTGCTACTTGAAGCAGCTTGTGGAGGATTTGTTGGGAGAAGAAGTGTGCCTCAGAACCCTTCCGTGAAGAACAGCACATATACTGCTAAGACTTCGTCACCTCCCAAGTGCTTCGGCAGCTCTTCTCTTTCTCTTCGACGTTTGGGGCCTCGGGCGGATTCCCAGGCGCAGCTCTTCTCTGGGCGAGCAGATGCATGAGCTCTTGCAGTTCCGTGGCCAAAGCCACCTGCCGCCGCTTTCGGCTCGCGCGGCTGCGAAGGGCAGAGGACAAGCGATGCCAGCGGCGGCGAAGGAAACGCCAAAGCGAAAGCGATGCGATGCGCCGCAAAGGAGTGTGCGGCGGTTCTTTTGGGCCGAGTGAGGCTATCAGGTGGTCGTTTTCGGGTGGGATGTTCACCCCAGTACGATCAGTGTAGGCAAGAACAGGGAATCGTTTCACCTGTAACAAGGACGCTACTAGTATGTCTTTGTTCGCTACTAGGAGCAAGGACGCTACTAGGAGGTCTTTGAAGCTGGGTCTCTTTGACTCACTCTATCCAACTTATGCCCAGAAACCTGAATCCGAATCCGTCGAAACCTGTAGGACTCCTCCCTCCCAGCCATCGGCTCCAGCGCCGGATCCCGCCTGAGCCTTATCGTCGCTCTGGGAGATGCGCCGCAGCACCTCGGCCTTCCGCCAGGTCACCGCGTCGTCCAGGAGCCGGGCCTCCTGGAAGAGCTTGTAGCCTCAGAGACCCACACCGGACCGTGAGCTGGATGAAAGGAGGCTGAGGGAGGGGGGCAGTGGGAGGATGAAAGGAAGGGGAGCTAACTGTGGAGGCTGAGCTGGATATGTTTCACAATGTTCTTTTGCTTTCAAGTTTGCTGGGCTGGGGGACGAATGGATCATAATGGATCTGTCATCTGTTCATGTGATTATCTGGTTTGAAAGGAGAGTCAAATCCTTTTCTGTCTGATTTTGCTGTCATTGTTCGCTCCCTACTAAAGTAAATCGGGCATCAGACCCCATTCTTCCTCTCTTCTCGGGAGTCCGAAGAAAGGCTCCAGCTTTGTGCGACTGTCCAAACAGAAGGGGGGTTCATTTCGACGGACAGTCTGACGGATGTTTGTGCGACCCAAGAATTCAACGGAATGCAATACAATGCAATGCTTACCTCAATGTTCGACTGCATGAGTTCTCCCAAACATGAACCAAACGCTTGTCACGCTTCGGAAGGATCTTGAAACATGCATGAACCGTTCAACCTCCATGTTCAAAATCACCGAAGAAAAAAAAAAGAAATCATGTATCAATATGAGTCATAGTTAAACTAAGTTAGCTAAGCCAAAATCGGGGTCCAACTGCAACTGGCGGCCATTGTGCAAGGAGGTCCGAGGGATGATATCGAAGTTGATCGCAAATGCCTCGGCCCCAGTGGCGAACGGGCGCGGCCGGTGGTTCCTTCTCCCTCTCCACCGAGGAGAGTGGCGAATCGTTGGAGGAGGTTTCGATCTCTTTACCAAAAGGACGTCTTCCCATTCTTTTGGGACCTGGGCTGGACCTGCAAACAGAATCTTCTTCAGGATCCCACCATGCTCTTGTTCACACTCCATCGTTGCTTCCAAAACACTAAAAGGAATCATTGTCCTAAACACTCCACCCAGCCCAAGCAACTTGTCTAAACCCTCACTAAGCACTTGCCAGCTCGACAAAGCCACGTTGATCCAGTTTTCACCTATTCCTTAAGCAGGTCCCACCCACCCACCCACTCCATCAACCCTTCAACACCTTCAGCCACACCTTCCGCCGAAGTGCCACCGATGCCTGCTGCACCTCTTCGAAGGCCTTCTGTCCCGGCCCCGAGAAGAGGCGCTGCAGCGACACCCAGCGCGACACCGGCGGCCTGGGCGCGGAACGGCGCGGAACGGCGCGGAACGACGCGAGGACGCCAGGCCGCGCGTGCATGGCTTTTCAAGGGCGATGACGGACGAAAGACGAGCAAACCAGTCATCTTAGAATCTCTTAGAATCTCCAGCTGATCTGAGAATGACTGGCTCAAGCTGCACCCAGCAGAACAATTCTCCAAAGGCAGCGTTGCGAAAATCTCCGAGCCCTTTTCAGCTGATGCTGCAGGCGGTCGGAAAGCAGGAAATTAGTCAAGTTGTCTGGCCGGAGAGGTTGTCTGGTATAGAGTCTAGATGAGTCTAGTATAGAGGTTGACCAGTCCCCTGGATTTTCCGAACAAAAGGAATGCCATCTTCTACCCCAAGGCCTGCGCAAAGCATGGCATCTGACGACAAAGCATGGCATCTTCACTTGGCAAGTTCAGACTTTTCATGTTCAGAGTGGATAAAGGCTCGATGTCGAAGAAGTTGGCTGAAGGCCCCGTGTTCTATGGCATCCAATAGGCTCACCAGCTGGTGCAGCTTCTCGCCGGTCTCACAGGCACTGCTGGCTGCAGCATAGGCAACAACATTCGGCTCGACCATGGCTTCGGGCATTGCATTGAACAAGCTTAGTGCATGCTGCCAATGTCCAGTCTTTTCACAGGAACTGATGGCCGCGCTGTAGCTGATAACGTCTACTTGAACCTGTGCTTTTGACATGGTAGCAAACAAGCGCAAAGCCTGTTGCCATCGGCCTGCCAAATCACAGGAACTCACCGCTACACTGAAGCTAAGGGCATTTGGTTGGATTCTCGCTTGGTACATGCAATCAAAAAGCCTTGACACCTGTTGCCACTGCATACCCTGCTCACAAGAACTCATCGCAGCACTACAACTAATCACATTTTGCTGCATGCTTGCTCTAGGCATGGCATCATGCAAGCTCAAAGCATACTCCCATTGCCTACCCTTTCCTGCTGAAGTCACACTGGCGCCGTAAGCAAAAACGTTCTGTTGAATGCTACTTCTCGGCATGGCATCAAACAAATGCAACGCCAACTGCCATTGTCCGCCCTTCTCACAAGCACTGATGGCTGCACTGCAACTGATGACATCCATCTGAACCCATGCGTGTGCCGCTTCCTCTAGCAAGCTCAAAGCATGCTGCCACTGCTCACCTTTCTCAGAAGCACTGATCACGGCATTCCAAGTGATCACGTCAGTTTCGGCACCTGTGTCCAGCATGGCATGAAGCAGCGCGAATGCATGACGCCATTTCCCGGCTTTTTCACAAGCACTGATAGCTGCATTCAAGCTGACAAGATTTGGCTGAACACGTGCCACAGGCAAAATCCGCAGCAAAATCAGAGCGTGTGTCCATTGCCTTTGCTTCTCACAAGAACTAATCGCTGCACTGAAGCTATAGATATTGGGTTGAATGCTTGCCTTGGGCATTGCAGCAAGCAAATGCAATGCCCGCTGCCATTGCCCGCCCTTCTCACAAGCACTGATGGCTGCACTGTAGCTGAAAACATTTGGCTGAACCTTATCTTCTGACATAGCATGAAGCAAGCTCAAAGCACCCTGCCACTGACCCCCTTTCTCCAAAGAACTGATGGCTGCACTGTAGCTATAAACACTGCGCTGAACACTCGCATTCGCCATAGCCGCAAAAAGCCAGCAGCCGTGTTGCCACATGTGGGAGGAGGCGTAGGATGAAATTCCTCGTGTGTAATCACTCTCATTGAGCTGGTGGGTCTCCTCTTGCCTTTCAGCTATGGCCAAAGCTGTGAACATCCTGCTTGTGAGAGCATTCGTCTCTTCACTTGCACGAGAGGTGGCCTGGGCTGTGAGAAGCATGAAGGAATTCTTGGTGAGCAACCATGAGTGTGGTGAATCTTGAGATATCCATGTCCAAGCAGTACTTGAGCAAACAATGCTAGGAATGTTGTAGCTATTTCTTAGAAACATCCGATGACCGGTTTTTGACTCCATTTTTTGGCCTCCCACCAAATCCAAAGGCAAAATGGCACATGTGAAGAGTCAGCCTGAACATTGGATGGACAAGCTCTACACTTACCAAACACATTTCAGGTTGCCTGAGGATTGAGGGGTTTATATGAACGCCTATATAACCCCCGCCCCCACCGCTATCACCACTCAACGAGATGACCAAAAAGGTGCCGAAAGGACCTCTGAGTCGCGACCTCGTCACGACGTTCTGACCTTCAGCTCAGTCTCTTCAGCCGCTCGCGCGGCTGTCGGCTTTCGGCGCGGCTCGCGCGCATCCGACCCGCGTCGTCCGTGCGTCAGCTTCGATGCCCCCCTTTCGGTGGTTCGTCCGGCCATCGGAAGTGGCTTTGGTCGCGGGCGACGGGTGGACGCGCTGAAGCTGCGACAGGAGACGAGACGGCGCCCGAGGCACGTGCGACATGTGAATCATCCGAGTGCCCATTGCCCATAGAGGATTGGGGTTGCCACAGCGACTTGCGGTTTGTCAAATTCAGCAGGAACTGTTTCCATGAAAGGTCCAGCGGATCCCGGAATCCGGATCATGTGGCGACGCTGCCCTGGAATCCATTGGTCTGCCGTAAGACCACCTTTATAAATATCCTGGCTCTAGCTGGTCTTGACTTGGTATTCCACACTCCTGGGGTCCAGAAGCCAGTCGCTTGGTATTCTACGCTCCATGCCTCCAGACAGCCTTGCTGGACTTCCGAATAAACCCGTGTTCAAGTGATGCCCGCGATGCATTGAGCGACCAGGAAATCATCTGGTCTGTCCAAACCCTTGGCTCGTCCGAACTTCCCAAAAATCCTTCCTCTGATTTGCCGCCTTCACTCCGGCCAAGGGCAAATTCCGGACCCAAGCCCTTTTCGCCAGCCACCGAAGAGTACCAGGCTCATCTCCAAGCCTTCTCCATCAAGATATTCTTCTGTTCTCCAACAGACACAATATATGCTTTCAAGACCTTTAGGCCTTCGGCAAGAATCCAAATGTGAACATCCTCAACCTTGAACACTCATGTCATTGTCACCAGGCCTCCCACAGGCCCACAAGAAAGTCATCCTGGACGTAATACAACAAGAAAGTCATCCTGGAAGGTGACCTAGAAAGTCCCACATAGAACTTGTGTGAGGCTATGACTCTTGCTCTCCCAAGTCTCCGAGCATCAAAAAAGAACCAGAAGCAGAACGCTCACAGCTTCACAGACTTCCACAAAAACCCCTTTCTTAGCATCTCAGGCCGGCCGCGGGCCCCTGCCCCTGCCCCCCTGGCCATCCGAGCGGCTCTCGCCCAAAGACTGGTGGCGGCGCGAACAGGAAGCAGCGCAACGGGATCGCCTGGGTACTGCGACCGTTGGGTACTGCGACTGGCTCCGGTTGGTGCGACAGTTAGGGGTCTATCAGTTGGCCGAAACACCAAAAAAGGGTGGACTATAAGTTGATGTTCCCGCCTGATTCCTTGTTCTTGTGCAGCTTTCTTCTGCCTGGTAGATCATAGAGGCAGTATCGCAGTATTGCCGTTACTTTGTTCCATCGGTTATTCAAGGAACCGAAGAAATACACACGGCAGAGCGAGTTCATGCAACAACGGATATAGTCTTAGCACCTTCTGCCGCCCTCTTCCAAAACGACCACTGAACACGACCTTCAATCAATCAGTTGACCCAGCTTTTGCAAGTGTTACCCCAAAAAAGTCCCAAAAAATGGAGTCGACGTCTCCGCGAGATCTCTTCTCCGACCTCTGGCAAGGTCCAGTGAGCGCTTCCCTTGCTCCGCAGCAGCATGGCCAGCAATTGACACACGCCAGCGCCCAGGGAATGGCCAACCAAGACCTTAAAGTCTACGGCTGAGGCGTAGGCGTGTTTCTGGCTTGTACGATGCAAAAAAAAAAAACATAGCTTTACAATGTTTTACATGTTATCCTGCAATCCATCTCAATGACTCCAACTCTGGCCACAAGTCACATAGAAAACTGTGTGAGACAGACAGCCAAATCGTTTCCTTTCGCAGAAGTGGTTTCGAAGTGTGGCCTTGCCCCCCTGTACTTGTTTACATGGGAAAGGGAGAAAGGGGGATGCCATCAAAAGAATACAGCATTTGGGTGCGTTTTTGGCTGTGAAAGAATGCCACCCCTGCGGTCAAATTGACATGATGCTAGAGCACGGCAAATGCTGGTGATGTTACGTGGAATACAAGCATCACTTGCATCAGAGAGCAACAACACTTGAACCAACTGCAATGCCAGGAACTCGAAGTGAACCTGTAGTAGCACCCTTGTCAACCCATATTGCTCAAAGTGAACATGAAAACCAACCACCGAGTCCTAAGCACCGCCTGGACCATTCATTGAGACCTTGCTGTTTCTGCAGAAGCCTCCGTTTCTGCCGACCGCTCTCATCACCGGGGCGTCCGGGCTAGGCGCGGCGATTTGGAAGACAGCTGCGTCAAGCCTGGCACCGACAAAGGTTGCATCTCACGGAGTCGGAGGAGCTTTTGGTGCGATGCAAAGTCCACAATGAGAACTGATGGAATGGCATCCTGCCCGAAAGAAACTCCAGAGACATGCTTCAAAATCCGGTTGAACCCAGAAATGCCCAGCGAGCAGCTAGACTCTAGCTAGACGCTTTTGGGGGGAAGGTGTCCATCATCACGCTCGTCTTAGCACAGTCATTATGCAAGCCTTTCAAGTCAACCTCCAACCCTTGGCAATTCTCACCACCCCCAAAAACCACCCAAACCACCCACCCCAGTCTTCGACTTTGCGTCTTCGCGTCGCGGCGCGGCGGTCGGTCGCGGCGGTCGCCACAGTGTCGACCGGGTCGTTGCCTCGCCTCGCTTCAGAGGCTCCAAGATCTTCGTAAAGACCCGTTGGGCCGAGTGCAGGATCCCCGCGTGCGCCTGGCCACCTGCCGAACGCGGTAAGTTGGCTTGGCTTGGGCGGTAGCTTGGGTTCGAGGGGCAGAAGGAGTGTTTGTGGGCGGGTCCGAGGAAGGATGATGAACATTCACCATATGTGAATCTGATGGAGGGGATAGACCCTGATGGATGCTGCCCTGTTTCTTGGGACCGAGACTGCAGCCATCGGTCGTGCCAGCATGAGCAGCGAGTCGAACGAACACTGTGAGAATTATGCTACCAGTGCTTTAGAAGCAATTCTGCATCCATATGCAATGCTAAAGACTCCTCTGTAGTAGAGCATTAGCAGCATGATCGGCATGACCTGCATGAGCAGCTGCAGCTGATGAGGCACTGTTGAGCAGCATCTCTCTGAAGTCCCGAAGTCGCGGCGAGTGTTTCGGTTGAGCCCAAAGGAGGACCTCGTCCATCTCTTCACAAGGTGTTGGAGGCCATTGCTATTAGAAACAAAGAAGCAAAGAAAAGCACGCTTGCTATCCAAGTGCTAAGCTCACATCAAAAACGCATGCTGCTCTCCACGCCTAGGAAGGCTTCCGTGTCGCCGATGAGGTCGGCGAAGAGGTCGGAGAGGGTTTGGGTCCTTCGCGGCGAAGCGAAGCGAAGCGAAGCGAAGGGTCCCCGTTCGTGGCGTCCGAACGCTCCTCGTCGCGATGCCAGGAGCCCTAGTAGCGAACCTTCTTCCTAGTAGCTTCTAGCTCCTAGTAGTACGGCCAGGAGCCCCTAGTAGCGTCCTTGCTCCTAGTAGCCAAGGCTCGGCCTTTGGTTTTTCAGCAGAAAGAGGGGCCATCCATAGCACCTCAACAACTTCCTCCTCCCCTAGTGGCGCAATCGTGGTGAGAAGGCATGCCTTGAGATTGCAGGGCCCACAAAGACAAGCGGTCAGGTGAATTGGTCAACGTTTTTCAGCACAGATTTCTTGACACAGATGCAAAAAAGTGGAACGAAACCATGGGCGCCTGCCTGTCAGTTGGGACTACCTACTCTCGGCCCTCTTCAATCGACTCCCGACGGCCCCATGGCCCCAAGTGAAAACGCCGCCGAAGGTCCCTCGGATGCACAAGATCAGCTCGTCATTCACTTCATCCAAGGCCAGCAGGAAGCGAGGACAAAGCCTGCATCCAACAGAGATCTCGCTCTTCAAGGCGCGCGGGAGGTCTCAAGGCTCTTTTGCGTGCAGAGTCTACCTTTTGTGAGACAAGCAAAAGAATCAACGGCTGGTGTTGGTAGGAAAATTTGATGAAAAGGTAGGACAGTGTTCTATGTGTTTCTTGTAAGTTTTCTTGTAGGTGTTTTGACGCTTAGCCCTGCACCCCCACGGTGGATTGGATGGATTGGATGGATTGGAAGCACCCGCCCTTCAACATGCTGAAGAGGCCCAGTTGGTACCATAGGATTGAGGCCAAACCTATTGGATGTGCGGGAAAAGCCGCGAAAAGCGGCGTGTTGCCACAGCAGAGTTCCACGGCCGCCATCAAATGTTATAGACCCTTTCTTGCTCAGGAGATGAACCCAAAACGGAAACTTTGAAGCTGTAGAACTTTACAAATCATCCAAAAGAAAGTCTCTTGGATGTTCCACTGGTTGATCTTTCGGACGTCAACAAGTTCTCATCTTTCCTTATTAAGACATCTACTCTGCTGGACCCTATAACCTTCTAAACTCTAAACCCAACCACATCCAAACCACATCCATCCAACTCCCACGTCCAAAACACGTTCATCCGCCATCCCTTCATGAATCGGCCATGGTACGGATCGTTGATCTGCTTGTCGTTGTCCATGTCCGAGCACAAGACCTCCAAACTTCCGCCCAACATCGCCAGCACCGGCCGCAAGCGCTCCTCTTCGGTTTCCGCCTCGCGGCGACCAAGACCAAATGTCATCGGTGAGCCGAATCGGCATCGGTTTATGACCATGGGTTGAAAGGCCAACCAAAATAGGGGAAGAAGCAACAGCACCACGGATTTTGGGTGGTTCTTGGAAGAACAATACCTCAGATCCGGGGTGTCTAACAAAGCCACCCAAGCTCCGTGGCGCTGGCAGGCACAGCGGCTTTGGCCAAAAACATCGTGATGGGGTGGATGTTGACGAACCCGTCGGCCACATCGACCAAGAGATGCGCAGAGCACGGGAATCCAAGAGATGAAACTTCGGAGTTCCTCACATCTTCTTCATTCTTTCCATCAGCCCAGAGCTCTCTCAACTCTGACAAGAGTTGGACCTTCTCTTCTTCTTCACCACCATACCTGTGAGCACAGGTGTCTATCGTCGTGATGTCAATTCGTTTTGATGTTTCCTAGAGCCCTCACTAGGACACCTCTGCCTATAGAAGAACATCGCTCTTCCACGTGAGGGCGTGTGTCCTAAGACAACTCATCCAATATATCCGCCGACCCCAGCTGATGGGGGAGCACGCCAGAGAATCACCGTGCATTTTTGGTGTGGAATTCCGAGAGGGTCTGAGATAGAGCGCGGCGGGAGATTCCGAGAGGGTCTGAGATAGGTCAAGAATTGGATTGTTGCAGCCGTCAGAAAGCAACGGTTCGCAGTAGACGATGAGTTTTGGGGACCATTTTTGAATCGTTTTTGGTGTGGTAATGCTATGGCGAAGGGTCTCGTTTCGCATCCTTGGGCTAGGACACGTCGCGAGGTTCAGAGAGGGTCTGAGATAGGATCGGGAATCTATAGTGCTGTTATTTCCGTCAGAAAGCAACGTTTGGCACTGGACGAGGAGACAATCGCAGCAGTTCGCTGCTTTGCAGGTTTCTTGTCAAAAAGACTTACCAGCACAGTCGTGAGCTCATCTCGCCCTGAGTGCAAATGAAGCCCCAGTTGGCAACTGCATGCTTGTTCGAATAGGTTTCAAACGGGAAATACAAGTTCAAGACAACCCGCTCTCTGTTTTCGCGGTTCCAACACATTGTCTTCAACAGCAAAGCTTAGGGCCAGAGAGGTCTGAGGCATATTAAAAACTCAGCTGTCTTTTGGTGAAGTAATTCATGAGGTTTTCCTATGAGAGCGATGAATGCAAGTGTGAACCGTTTTTGAATTGCTGGTTGATGTTGGCTCCAGGTGACGGATAGCTTCTGAGATATTCTGAGACAACACCATGGTAGGAGTGAAAAGACTTTGGCTGCACGAACAGGATATGTCGTAGAACACAGCTCACTTGGCTGCAAACCTCCACTTTGCAACAAACACCTAAGAAACATAGGCCACCCTAAGACATAACGTCGGAAATTTAGTCTCTCGCGGAAAGTCGTACAAGAAGCATCCGAAGGCCAAGGGCCGGTCCGCTTGCTTGTGGCCCAAACTAAGACCAACCTAGTGCTAAGATAGGCCAACATTGGCCCAGCATGGCTGCAACACGGTCGCAAAATGAGCTTAACTTGGATGATTTTTGGTGGGCTTAGATGAGCTGGACCTGGCTCTAACACATATAGGTGAACATAGTGCCAGCCTCGGGCCAACCTGGTGCAACATGGGCGATCGAGTGTGTGACATCTGCTTGCCGACTATGTTGCGGTGTGCGACGGATCACCCGACTTTTGGCTTTCCCGGAAAGAAGCCAGGGCAGTCAGCCCCCTGGATGCTGCCGGGATGCCCCACGTCCCAGCCCCCGTCTTGCACAGGGAGGGGTTCTCAGACATTCCACTGCATCAGCGCACACATGCATTTGCCACTTGCTGTCCTATAAACCACCCAGGTCTACAAACCCGCGGCCGCAAATCCAGAGCTCGGGCGACTGTCCCTCCAGCTTTCTCTGAGAGTGGTCTCCCTTTCCCTTCCTTCTCTCTCCTGCCTCGGCCGGCGCCCGGCTGTCAGGCGTAAGCCCTTAAATAACTAAATCTTAGGATGAAGTGCCTCCACATTCGCTGGGTGCCCAAGTGACCGAGCACTGACCCAAAACCCCCACACACCACAGGTGCTTGCCGGATGTTGGGACAAATAGAGTAAAGAAGACACATCGATCCAAAAAAGAAGCAGAAAGAAAGAAAGGAACCAGAACGGCTATTCTTAAAAAGAAAGAAGCAGAACTTCAGAACGGCTTCCGAGCTGCAGAGCCACGGTCCATTTGCAGTACTTCAAAGCTTCCTTGGCTTCCTCGGGCCCATGTCCCGCACGTCGCGGTGTCCAAGGACCCTTTGACCCAAATGGACCTCAATGGGTTTTGGGATCCTTTTTCCACACGAACCCAGTGGCTTTTGGGGAGGTCCGACCCTCTCAGCTCAGGCTACCGGTGTGCCTTGGGGATCCGTGCGACGGATCGGTGCCACGAACGGCCGGCTCGCCACGCTGGAGCGAGATCCGGGATTCGGGAACGAAAGATGGAACGAGAACAAATGAAACGAGAACCAGTTGTGGTAAATGATTCTGGAAGTTCTGGCAGATACCTTTTGTCTTTGGGTGTTCGAAGGGAAAAAGATACGCTCGGAAAGTACATGGACTAACCTGGACCTTTCTTTTGGCTAGGTCATTCCAACCCACAACCCACAGCCATCTCTGAGCCCACGATTGACTAGTTCCTTCATTCCTCAAAGTTGGTGTTTCATCATCGATTTCATCTCGACTCTGGTTTTCATGGGTGAAACGGGTGACGACCTGTTTTCATCGATGCCACCGAGCTTTCCCGCACAACGTCTGCAAGTCTCCCCACGGCTGAGGTACTTCTGTGGCGGGTCCTGGCGATGCCCGGCGTGGATTGTTGCACCGATGCCTCATCTCGATGGCGACCAACCCAGAAAGAAAGAGGTGGAAAAAGGTCTCAACCCGAAGTTTCTCACCCAAGTCTCAACTCAAAGTTGAGCAAAAAGATGGCGACCACGCGCATCCCACATCTCTCCCCCCGCCGATCCTCCACCGCCGGACGCGTCGCGCGGGTTCCTCGAAGGCTTGGGTCACGCGTTGCACGGCCAGGTGTCGGTGCAGCACCCGAAGCAACGCCATGTTCAAGGCCTTGGACGTGCGGTGTGGGGCGGTGAAGCACGGGGAGGAGCATGTCGGAGCATGTCGGAGCATGTGGTTGATGAGTAGATGAGTATATGAGATAGATATGAGATAGTATATGTTGCCTAAAACCTTAAGATGTCCATTACAAACAAATGGGTTTCAGTGCCGTTGGATCGGTCCTCCTGACACCTGACACCTGCACGACATCCACACAAGAACGCTCCCCTTCATCACGCACCCCTTCACGTCCGAAACTTTCGAACTCCACGCTCGGACAGGTCTTTCTTTCCAGGCACCCCTTGGTGCCCAAGACTTGGAGATGGGGTTCGGAACCACCTGACGACACCAGACCACCCAACAGGCGGAGTGTCGGACAGGTGGAAACCCCAGGTCGGTCCAAGCGAACGGGTTCGAACGGGTCGACAGGTCGACAGGTCGACAGTGCAAACCAAGCAGTTTCTGCTGGGCGAAGCAAAAACGGCTGATGCACAATGCTGAGTTCCAAAAGCCTCAGCAAAACGTTAACGCAGTTGGATGCAGTTGGGTCGGGCAGCTCCCACATGCTCTCACATGCCCTCGCGAAAAAAGATCGCAACCCAAAAAAGGATCGAATTTGGAGGCTCTATGCTGAAGCAAAACCAGAGACATGGGTGGAACATTCGGCCCAACCGAATAGCAGTGGCAAGTCAGACGTCACAGGATTGCCATCGCGTTTCACGTCCTGTGAGGGTGCGTGCCTCAGTTCAGTAGGGCTCGACAAGAGCTGTGCTGTCCGGCCCATTCTGTTGACATGACAATCCTGTGTCGACAAAGGAGTCTCGAGGCATGAGGATTTCCTGTGAACACCATTCGCCAACTTCTTGATGTCCTGCCATGCTGAGAAACATGGCGGTCAAGACTGGCCATCCACGCGCCTGCCGAAGGCGGATCGTGCTAGGAATTGTGGGTCCATGGGATGTCCTACATCATCTACTTCGGACGGATCGTGCTCCAAAAAGAGCCTCAAAAAGGCACGCGCCAAAGCACGTTGAAGGCCAGGCGCTCACATCAAGGCCTACGCTTGGCCCAAGTTGAATCGATCAAAATCTGCGAGGTCTTGGTCACTGGGCAGCTGTGATTGATGGCAGCTGTTTCTTTGATGGCAGTCAGGAGCTGCAAATTCGCTACTAGGGACTCCTGGCATCGCTACTAGGAGCAAGGACGCTACGAACGGGGCTCCAAGAAAACAAGACGAGCAAACTTTGCAAACCCCATGCGCTTCCCTTTTCTGCGAGGAATAGAACAACCGCTTCAGGTCACGAGCCCTCCGGCATGCTCCGAAGTTTTCTTTACAAGGACCATCACGGCGGAAAATCGGTTGATCCCTGAGAACACAAGACTCGCACTCACTTCCTTTAGGAACTCCAAAAGAAGAAAAGATGCGACCTTTCAGCCTCTTCAATCTAGCGATGGCCTCCAACCTAGAAGCGTTCTTGCTTAGAGGGAGACTCAAACACCCCTCCACTTCCACTATCTATCCACTTCCTACTTGGCTCGCCCTTAAGTGACCGAAATAAGCCTCGCACGGCGATCGGCCTTCCCTGACCCCCTCGGGTTTGGGAAAGCGAGAACGCCACAGGAACCAGCTGGGTCCCTGGAATGCATTTGGCCGCATTCTCAGGAGTGTGAAGAACAGCACAGCTCAGATATGTCCAAAAGGAATCACCGTGACCAAAAGAGGATGCCGTTGGAAAGACACCAAATCTCCGAATTCCTCAACCGAAAGGGAAAGGCTGCGACTTGCCGACCACAGCCGTTGCAACGACCCAACGACCCTCATAATCCAAAAAATGCAACGATGGACTCTACTAGGAGCAAAGGACGCTACTAGGAGCTCCTGGGACTCCAGCACTTTCGGAGCGACCAAATCCCAGGCATCACTTAAAGACCATCATTAAAAGCTCGTTCCCAGGCCCCACGCTGGCCTGCGAGCGTTTCCTGGCTGGTGGTGGATCGTGGGGGGCCAAAGCAACAGTCATCACTGTCAGACTCCTGAGAAATGACGTGCACGTTCTGCCTACGCAAAATCCGAGTTTGGTCAATCGTCATCACCGACTGAATCTGCAACCCACGACGTCTTTGTCGCACGCCCAGTGTGACTGCTTTGGGCTTGTGGTCGTGCAAATAAATAGACAGAAACGATGTCAGAAACATGTTTTTGCAAGAACTCACTTGGCTCTCTATTGAGGATGTATATTTATGTATATTTCATATGTAAAATACAGGTTGTACATGTGAATTCCCTTTGCACTGCCATTCACTGCCATTCATCCCTGATACGATGATCCAAGCGTACACCACGACTCCAGCTTCTCTGGCATGAGCTTGCCACTTTCTAAAACAGCCAACGTTTAGTCTCCGATCACATGTTCTATTGGAAAGGGTCGGCCGTCCGACTCGGCTGACAAAGACATCTCTGCCGACTTGATCATCTTCCATGGCCCATGGCTCATGGCTTTCCAAGTCTCGCTCCACTGCGCTGCGCTCAGGCGCTGGTCGTGGCGCTCAGGCGCTTGTGTCTTCCCAGCTCCGGCAGAGTCCTTCGCGGTGAACCACGGTGTCGGAGCACATCCGTGTGAAAAAGGGTCACTTGACAAACCAGGGAGATTTGGGAGCGTGATCCAGGTGATTTGGCGATAAGTTTCATTCATTTGGATGCATGTTGCAGGGTGGCTGCTCATGGACTTTTGGGGGGGCCTGTGGAAAGTCCACTTCTTCTAATCTCCCATGTTCCATGTAAGAACAAGTTGAAGTGGATTTCATGAGGGTAGCATGTCCCTTGCGGTCCAGATTTGGGCACGTTCAGGGTTAAATCTTGTGAGTGTTTGTGTGCATGTTGTGCTGTGTGTCTGATGATGCTCTATCATGCTGTGTCACGTGCACATTATGTGTTTTCCGTGCAGCTCTTGCCTGACCTTCCCTTGCATTGCTTGGCCTGCGCTGCCTTGTGCAAGGTACGCTGCCTTGCATCTCACACATGGTCAATTCTGCACTGCAAGGTGCATTGGGTGCAGGGCCGTGCTGCGCTGTGTGTTTGGTTCCGATGTGTCTGTCATCTGCGCTGCTGGGTGCCACAATCCACATGCATGAACTGTTCCTCTGCCGTGTTTAGTGCCTGTGAGCACTTTATCTGATGAAAACCCACCAATCGGACGAGGTCGCCCCCGGGCGTCATGGCGTTGCATCAGGCAAACACTCAGCGCCCATCGTGTTTCTCCAATCCTGTAGTGGTCCCAATGGAGAGCGACACGGTTTCCAAGTGGAGATCTACCTTTCTATCTATTCGGGGGTCTATCTATACCAAGAACAACAGAAAGCTTCTGCATCACCTACCAGCCGGCACCTTCCCCGACCCCCCAGCCCCCCTGCAGTCATGGTGGTGCAAGCAGCGGCTGCACAGCCGGCGGCGAAAATGGGGCACGACACTGCGGCGGGCAAGGTCCCACTGAACGGCGCCAACACACCGCCCAAGCGCGCAGCGATCTCGCAGGCCGGCAGCGCAAACTTCCTCCGTGGAACTAAGCAGTGCTTGTGAAATGCATGAAACACAAGGTGGGAATGAAGAGCTCGAGGGGGCAATGGATGAAA